TCAAGTTTTTTTTAAAGGGCAAAGTGACACTGAGTGACCACAAGGGCTCAAGGGAAAGCAGATGCTAAAGTTAGACATCCGCACATGACATAGTGATATACTGTCCGGCTGTGGTAGTTTTTCTCCCCTTATATCAGGAAGGTTGGTAATGAGTTGGGATAGCCAAATTTAAACAAATCGGCATCAGGGGTATTACAATCGTATTTCCGTAAAATTGAATCTAAATTGTGATAAATCCACCAAATTCGTAACGATGGGCAGCACTGTTTATACCCCTTTAAATCGCCATCTGCCAACTGCCTGAGCTGTCCGTCCTTAAAAAACTAATGTAAATTTGTCTCGCATCATCCACAGTGCACTGGCCGCCAGAGGTATACACCTTACACGCTGCATGGCACCCACTAGGTAGCTGTGATAATCTCCCTCTCTCTCACACATGATTATGCGAGCTAAGGATGTCACATCGCGACCTCAATGCTTTCTTGTTGTATTTCCATTTTTAATAACAAGAAAGCACTGAGGTCGCAATATGCAGGAAGCCAGAAGACCAGCCCATCAAGTCATGGACAAAGGGACCACTCATCATAATACTGTCCTTCATCATGTCATGGCAGAATCATTTCCCTTGACATTGGGCAGTCTGTGCTATCGGAGAACAGCATTAATAAAGCCTGTTTTTGTTGTGCCACCAGTCCTGCTATACTTCATACTTGTCCCAGGATTGGAGTTTGACTGTAACTTTGAGGCACTATGGCAGATGGCAAAGGCCATGCAATATGGCAAGGTATGGCGAATATGCATAATAACTTCCACTTATATTTTGTAGACTCAGTTTGTCAAATTCATCAGTTTCTATAACAGTGCAAACAGTTTGAGTACAAGGTCTTGGTATATTATATATGTACTCCGTGGTGTAAAAAAAAAATAGCCTCAGCTAAAGATATCCTATTATAAATTTTCAACAATATCTAGGACTTGGGAAAGGGACAGCTTCACAAACTCAGAAAAGCAGTTAAAAAACAAATTTGACATCACTAACTAAAAACAATTTGTTTACTGAAGAAATTACAATATCTGTAACAGCATTAATTTTAACCTAAATTTGTATTTGTAATAAACAACTGAAGAACAAAGACTAAATATTTCGACAACACATTACAAGTTGATGATAAATTACCATCCTCGAACCTGACCAAAACAATCATCCATTGTCTCAGAGAACAGTGGTAATCTTAGACAAGTGGTCCATTTTCTTTCATGAACAACATGCACACAGTCACTTAAAGTAAACTGTCAGATCAACCCTATGGGTTAAATCAATGACTTTCAAATAAAAGAATTCCCATATTACTGATAGACAGCCTTTCCTGAAACCATGTAAAATTTATGTAATAGAGGAGACAATCTAGTTGAAAATCTATCATGCAACATTTGTCTACAAAAGTCCTCCAATCAACAATGATAACAACACTGCCAAGGGCATTTCACAATTGCAGTGTATGGATCATTGGATAGCCTCATTTTGCAGTGTCATTTAGATCAAAGGATTTTGCAGTGGTAAAGATGACGATAGACAAGTTAAGTCGTGATTGCAAGGGACCTAACAGGACAATTTTTAAGAAATCTGTGAGACACGAGAACTGTTTCCCTCACTCTGCTCCATCCCAAGCATCTCACCCTTGATGTTCCTTATAATGCTTTCTGACCTTATGCAGTATAAATTTACAAAATGGAAGAATTGTTTCATTTCCTGAGAATATTTGACTAAACAATCACATATCACATGAGTTAACACAATTCCTAAAGTTAGCCACAAAATATAGCTTGGGATTTCTCTTTAAGTTGAACTTTTTAACGTTCTGTTCCATATAAACACACTGCAGTACACCGAGAGTTAAAAACAGGAACTACGGCTATAACCATAATATGTTTTATGAGAAAACACAATTCCCACTTTAAGAAGCAAAATATAATTTGGAATTCCTCTTTAGTTGAACTTCTTAGTTCTCACGTTCTATTCCACATAAACACACTACTGTACACTGAGAGTAAAAAGTAGGAACTATTATGAGTACTATGATGAGTAACATATCAGAAGCTTGCAAGTGCAAGTACAGTTCAACCTGCTCTAACGGCCACCCTTCCACAACAATCACCTGTACAAGCGACCACTTCCTACTTCTTCCATTGCATTTTTTCTGATATTATATAAAAAAAATATAAAAAAACTCAAGGAAAAAAAAAATTAAAAGATTTGTATATATATGACACTAGCACGCTTAAAAAGGGTAGAGTATTAAAATGACACATATGAAAAATGTCTCACAGAGGTAAAAATCGTAATACTTGAAAAAAAAACAAGGCGAGTAAAACAACCGAGTGTTGATGAAATGGACTCAGAGCAACAGGGGTGAACAATATCATTTCCGGCATTATTCGTTCATGAACGAAGAAATCACAAAAACATCAAATTCAAACTATAAATCCAGCTTCCTCAATAGCTTTATGGCATTTTTGACACTTCAAATTGGCAACATGCAGTCCACAAACACTGTTGCAGGCACCAAGCAACAAAGAGATCTCTTTTAAACTGGTGGCTCTCCCCTGAACATTTTCTCATATGATGGAAATAGGCTTTAGCTATTGAACAACCACACAAAGTTCGAACAACTATTTTTAACCACAACAATCACAAGGGGTGGAGATGGGGGGCAAATGGTAAATGGACTCAAGGGAAATGGTTCATCTTGTACTATCACTCATCAACGTAACTATACACATTGTTCCCTTTGACTATTTCAGTGTCTTGCACAGCGTTTGGTTTTTTAAAAAAAAAGTAGGTGTTTTTACACCCCCATTGACCCAATTTAGATCATTTAGGAGATGCACTTCTGACCTTGCCTGTCAGGGAAAACAGGGAAACAACATCCCAGCAGAAAGACCAAGATACTCAAGAAATATTTTCTTTCCTCACCGGAATCAAACTTGGGTATTCTGCGTGCGACAGAGAAGCCCTTAACCAGTATACAAATGAAGCCGATTAGCACAACCCTGTAGATCTAGGAACCACCCGGAAATCTAAGCATAAGAAAAGGAATTTGTATATTTGTAGCATTCAGCTGGTTGGCCAGTAACATAGTCTGACACTGAAAGCTGGAGGGGAGTTGCTCAATGATTATAGATTGATGATAAGATAAGATAAGATAAGATAGATAGTACTTTATTATCCCAGAGGGAAATTTTCCTTGGCTGTACTGGACCGTAAAAACACATGCAGGTATACATAAAAAATTAAAATTATATATATTACTTTCATTAAAATTCAATATGAAAGGAGAAGTAAAGCTGACAAAATGTACATTTACATCAAATGCATCATTCAACCACATGCAGGAATTTAAATACTAGACCTTTGGAGTTATACAGATACATACTCTAAGAGCAACACACATCTATGCTCATTCTGACAAAAGCCTTAAGCTAGAAGGTAAAAAACTTCTTTTATATCTTTCTTTCTTTGTTTTTGGAGGTACATATCTGCCGCTGCGTGATCTTACAATTTGTGTGGAAAAAGGGTGTGATGGGTTGTTTATAATGCTTTTTATCTTTTTTATACATGTGGTGTTATACATTTCATTCATTCTATTAAAATCATATCCCGAGATCTTGCTGGCTTTCTTAATGGTTCTGTCAAATTTTTCTTTATCTTTCACCTTACAATTCCCACCCCAGCAGCAAATACAAAATAATAGCACACTTTCAATCATAAAATGGTAAAAAAGGGACATAATCTTATTGTCAACACAGAAACTTCTTAATTTCCTTTAAAGAAACATTCTTTGATTTACTTTTTTATGCACAAGAGCAGCGTGGGGATGCCAGTCAAGTTTGTGGTCGATTGTTCCACCAAGATACTTGTAAGAGCTTACCACCTCCACCTCTTCATCTTTAATAAATAGTGGTTGCAATTGGTCTTTTTTTACTCTAAAGTCTATTATTAATTCCTTTGTCTTTTTTACATTTAGTAAATGGAAGAGGTTATCACACCAATTTGTAAATAGATTCACAGCATCCCTGTATTCATTTTCATTTGTTGTTATACGGCCTTGTAGAGTGGAATCATCGGCAAATTTTATTAGTTTGATGTTTTTAGTTTAATGTGCTCACTTTAACATAATTTCTTTTGATACAATGGAATTACCCAAAAGCACTCAGCAAAAACATGAAGTAAAAAGTAAAGCTGTTAACAAAATAAAAATATGTGTGTGTGCCAAAAGAAAGGTAGGAAAAGTCGGATTTTTATCATTCTGAGTTAACTCACTGAGCACCGCTCCCGCAGCATATGCGGTCCGGTAAAACTTGCGTCACGGACCGCAACCGCAGCGCACGCGGGTTCAACTATAATTGACTATAAAGTAAACCCAGCAGTTTCAAAATGCTTGCAAATAGCCCAATGCAGTGGTTTAAACAGGATATCTACAAGCTAGTTCTTTGTGGTGTGTGTATATTCACCACTTTTAGTGCGAATAAAAGGGGTTATTTGTCCAACAGACTGAACAACTGAAAATAAGAAACTTCCGCGCAGTTCTTTGTTGTTTCTCCAGTTCTCATTTCAGGTAGATTCAGGGCCAGTTTCAGGTAGTTTGGCCCAAAATCAGGTAGTACAAAGACAAAGAAGGAAAAAAAAAGATGACCGTTGCCCCATCGAACACGCTTGCTTTCCGTGATATTGGGTAATTATATTTCAAAAACTTGTTTGTGCATGTGCATGCTCTTGTGTGTGTTTATATATGTGGGGAGGGGAAGGGGGTGTTTGGGTGTCCACAAGTTATGATGAACAGTGTGTATGTTTTGATTTATGAGGCGATAAGTGGAGAAGATATATATATAATGTACCCAGACCTGGGACATCTACTGACAGATCTAGCACTAGCACCACTGACAACGAAAACACTCCTCAGCCTGTCACCGTGAGATCTAGATCTAGATCTACATTTATATTTTTTTTTCTTTTTCAAAATTAATTATCACTTACATTTTTCTGCTACTTCACTGTACACGGGTAAAACATAGCAGGGGAGAGAAAGCGTGCTTCAAGAACAGATTTTAACACCTATTAAAAGCACTTTTCATTATGTTTTTTTTATACCATACTCTCAAAATAATTCAAAATAAAATATTTAGAAGTCAAACCAATGAAAACTCTTTGAGCACAGAGTAAAAAAATGGTGGATCTATAATTTTTTTAAGGAAACATTTTGGTCAAAAAAGTGATTTTTGTCCTTATCAGCCTGTAGCTCGAAACGGTCTGGGGCGACTTTTGGTACCTTTCTCAGGGCGCACACACATATAGATGTCAGCTATAAAAATAGGTGCTCGTATTTACACAGAACAGACAAACAATACAGTTTTCCAAAAACCTGCGATAGGCCAACTTCACTGTCACTTTCCAGAGAGGCGAAGTGTTTGACTTGATTCTCCCGGGAGCACGCCAAAGGTTAGAATGAGTAGGCAAGTAGTTCAGTTATTAACTGCAGCTGAAAAAATCCTGAAAAAAAAAATTATGAGAAAATTGTTTTAAAAAATTGTAAAAGGAACACTGCATCAACTAAGTCAATGGTAGGTTTCGGGGACATACTATTGTCAGTAGTCATGCATGTCTCAGAGTAAATTATAAGGAAGTGAGATAAATATTTCGTCTTGTACAGCATTTCCAGTTTGCTTTAGGTAAAGAAAAGCTCAGAGGAGTGGCAGGAACAAATCAAATCCCACTGAACACATCTAACACCAATTTCAGTGGAAATGATTCTTATCAAACAAAAACAGTTTGCTTGAGAGTTCACATGACCTAACTCTAACACAGTTATGTAACTGAGGTCTTGGCCCAACTTGTAAATCAACGCATGAAACATGCTTAACCTCTTCAAACCCATGATCTCATCTATCCGCATAATGATTTTATTTCCCTGTTCTCCTCCTTTCTTTCACACATCACTCAATGCTACCCCCATTTGGTGTCATAACAATAAGAACAAGCTGTAAATAGCTAATGACGCGATCAAAATAGTCAGAATTTAGAAAACCCACAATGCCTACTGTTTACCATTCAGAGTTCAGAGACAGCTTTGGATTGCATTCGATATGAAACCTCTTACTTTTCCCAGAAATTTATTTTTAGACCCACTGACGTCTTCATCCAACTGCCTTTAGTCAGCAAAGGCTGACTTTTTTAGTTTGTTAAATAAGAATTGAAGCTAGATTTGTTTCTCTGGGCCATCATGGAACAAAGTCTCTGTTTCAGGCAGAATGAATAATCAAATGAAAACAAGTTTTGAATTGTATTGGACATGTCTTCAGCTTTAACTGGTCAATCATTTAAAGCAACTTATCAAAGGAGAGTCACCTCCGATGGGTTTCTGTCTCAGCTGTTCTGTCTGTATAAAAGTTAAGAACCAAACAAATCAAACCTTGTCCCTCATTTCACATTGCAAGAATCTTTGTAAACAACTCATAACCATTTTTTTTTCACAGACAGAGCTATAGAGATATTATAATTTGTCATTTACTATTATGAGCTCAGGAATTTCCTAGCCTGTAAAGATCACAGACATTTTAAAATTCAATATTGGGAATAATAATGAGACCAAAAAACTTTTGCTTCCACCAAAACACAACAAAGCCACTTATGGCATTATTTTTTTAAAAGTTCCCAGCAGTACTAAAAACTAGAGGCCCACCTACATCTCAATATTATATTTGTGAAAGTTCAGACTTTGGCCGCCTAAAACTTCCGAACCACTTAACTTTCGAATTTGACAAAATTGGTGGTGCTTCAGAACAATTTATAGGGTGCAAAGTTTCATTGAGGAGCCTGAAGGCACAGTAGTTTAATTTTCAGTTTTTCATTATTTCGTTAAGATCTAATCTTGGGAAAGTCCGTCTTCTAAGACGCCATTGTAAACAAGAGAGGTTTCCGTTCACTAGCTGTGCGCTTTCAGTTGATGTTAATGCACTGGTAATTCCTTTCATCGACAGGGGGGCCCAGCTAGTGTGAAACTATTTTCAGAGCATACAACACTACAAACCAAAAAGATCCACATTTAATTCAGAACAACGTTAAACTCTGGGATGCTACTGAAATTCAACATTTTAGAGATAATAGAAATATTGTGACCAAATGCTTCTATGAACAGTTTCACCTACCTAAGACACACGTTTGGCAAGCCAGTCTACAATGTTCTTACAGCTGTCACTGCGTACAGGTTCTACATCTGCATGTAGCTGATGAAACCCTTCAGGATAAATCTGTCGAAAAAACAAAACAAAATGGGTAAAGTGAAGAGGTGCAATCTAGTTGAAGAAAAGCTTTACGAAATTAAATAATTAAAAGAAAGATCAAACATAAAAATGCCTCCTCTGCAGTGAAGTAAGTTTCTAAACATTGGCACTTTGCTCTCTCCTGCTGTAGACAAACAATATGAGTCACGACGCAGTGGAATCAAGCACTTGTCAAGTTTTGGACATATGGAGTTATTGGTATCATCTTAAATGTTATTCAGTTGCCTTGCTTTCAATGAAAAAAATATCCATTTATCTTGAGCAGAAGTAGAGATATTTGTGGATGAAAGGAGGTGGGGCCTCCTGGTTTCAGAAGTAAAATTAGTGAGAAAATGGCTGCCAAAGTTTGGGGATTTCTATAGCTTAAGAGTCCTTGGAAACTGCAAATTAAAATTTGTTGTACCTTTACTCAATGTTTCCCCCACAAAAATCCACACGTAAAAGTGTTTTTTAATGGACTTACAAGGCATTGAGGCAAAAAACAAAAATTAAAACAAAAATTCAAGAATGTCGATTTCGATTTCCCTATTTTGACGAGCGCCTGATTACACCATGATGAGAGAGAGAGAGAGAGAGAGAGAGAGAGAGAGAGAGATAGAGAGGGAGAGAGAGAGAGAGAGACACAGAGAGAGAGAGAGAGAGAGAGAGAGAGAGAGAGAGAGAGAGACAGAGAGAGACAGAGAGAGACAGAGAGAGAGCATTCCATGAGGTATCAATACTCAAGGCCTCCACTGTGAGTGGGGAGTGTGCAGACACAATAATGATCATATTAAGCAATAAGAAAGAGTAGTACAGACAAGAACAAAATATGGACAAAAAAGATGCTGGGACGTACCAGTAGCACACTCCCACCACCCACACAGAAACACCATACTTAAGAAAAATAACAATGTAAAACTTAATTATATACACTGTTCAAACAGGACAGGCATTTAAAATGAGTTTCTACAATCACAGAATTATCAATATCTGTTGCATCAAAGTCTAAAGACCCACCTTTATTGTTTTATCTGTGCTTTCTGCAAGTTTATGCAAAGTCTCTGAGCCCTTGGAGCTGACGATTCTGTCATCTCCTCCATGCAAGACAAGGAATGGAAGTTTGATGGTGGTAAGTTTCTCCTCTATTTCCATCAGAGCAGAAAGCAGACTCAGCGCCCACCTGAAAAGGGTCCAGTTTTACACCACTTTGATATCTAGTATGTGAGTATGAAAGCCACATTACTTACTTACTCTCTCCCTGTACAAACAGGCACACAAGGCAGAGAGCAGTCAATCCCTCTAACCTTGGCACATCCAGGCCCTGGGCGATTGCCTCAACCTTGATTGTGCTTTTTTAACTTCCAGTTCATTTACCTCTTCTTGTTTTTCCAGTTGGTCTCCAGTACCATGTCTTCAAGGGCAATCTTGACTCTGGTAATCCCAAAACATGTCCGAAATGTCTCAATCTTCTCCTTTTAACAGTAGTGTTAATATCTTCAATCCTAGCTCTTTCCAACAGTTCATTGTTTGTAATAAACTCATTCCAATTTATTACTTTTTAAAACATTTTTCTTCAGTGTTTTACGACAACTGCAACTGCATAAGGTCATAATATGAGTGCACAGGACACATTAAACATTTTTTAGTTGGCAAGAAATTTTTAATTTTGCTCAGGTGATGGCCTAAGCCTACTCTTAATGATTTTCATGCACAACTTGCATACGGGATCTCCAAGATTTTTCGCCATTATCCGAAAAGGCTATGTGTTAGATCATACCTGTCATAAGATCAAGGGTGTGGATGAGAGACAGCAGTGAGGAGTCGAGGAGTAGCAGTAAAAAGGGTACAGAAATAACATTTTTTGCTTGAAATCTTTTAAATTTTCATAGAGTTTCTTTGCTAAACACGACGATCATATACGTACACAGTGCATCAAAATAGTCACTCTCCAGCCATGTGAAATGGTATAGGCTTAACACCCCTATCAACACTAATAGTTCATTTAAGAGATACATGTGACCTCCGAGTTTAACGTTCATCTCCGAAAGGACTGAACTAAATGGGAAATTCATGTAAAATGCGATTTCCCAAAGACACAATGTCGAACTGAGCAAAGGCTCGAACCCCCAAATTCAGCCATGTATGGACTGAAAGAAAGTAGGAAATGAAAATCTTTTTGTGCCAAAACTACAAACATGGCTACAAGACACCGTGCTGTGGGACTTGGAAACATATAAACAACTGAGTTGAAATATTAATCAGTAGGACCCAAAGCTGGTGCCCCCCCAAAAACAGTCAAACCTGCCATGATGGCCACCTGTACTAACGGCCACTTTTCATTTCCTCCCTTGCGTTCTTTCTATATAATTTAACTGTGTAAAACCGGCACCTGTCCAACGCGGCCGCAGCCACCATTTTTTAATACACAACCCCTATCACACCAAACAATAACCCCTGTCTTAGACGGCCACCTTAGTGAATCCACTACGCTTTGTCATAAATCATGTATAGGCCCTTGGCGTTGTGGGCGAGCCGTCATAATCCAATCCCCTGTCGTTGTTGTTAGGAAGTCCCTCCAACCAACCATCTTGCGTAGGCCCCTCGCACTGTCGTTCAATGGGTAACAAATTTTCAGCTGCTGGTGAGGTAAGCGTCTGATCCCTCATAACCCATAAGCCTCACCCAGAACTCATACACAAATCATAAGTGAGATGAGTGGTTACTGTCTACCCAGTCTGTAACAAAGTAACAATGGACGTCAACATGAATTTGTGACAGAAGCGTCCCTCCTTCTCCGAGAGGTGGCTACCCATGTGTTTGTTTTTCCATATCACTCGGTCTTACCTGTCTGACACATTTCGTTTTATTGTCACCCTTGCACAAAAGCAGCAACAAAATAAAAAAAGCAGAACCCCCCCC